GTTAATTCTCACTGTTTAAACATAAAGAAATGAGATCATGTTGACTGTCACAGTTTAAACATAAAGAAATGAGATTATGTTGACTGTCACAGATTAAACATAAAGAAATGAGATCATGTTGACTGTCACAGATTAAACATAAAGATATGAGATTATGTTAATTCACACTGTTTAAACATAAAGAAATGAGATTATGTTAATTCTCACAGATTAAACATAAAGAAATGAGATTATGTTGACTGTCACAGATTAAACATAAAGAAATGAGATCATGTTGACTGTCACAGATTAAACATAAAGAAATGAGATCATGTTGACTGTCACACATAAAGAAATGAGATTATAAAGAAATGAGATCATGTTAAAGATTAAACATAAAGAAATACTGTTTAAACATAAAGAAATGAGATCATTCTCACATGTTTTAAACATAAAGAAATGAGATTATGTTGACTGTCACAGATTAAACATAAAGAATTGAGATCATGTTGACTGTCACAGATTAAACATAAAGAATTGAGATCATGTTGACTGTCACAGATTAAACATAAAGAAATGAGATTATGTTGACTGTCACAGATTAAACATAAAGAAATGAGATCATGTTGACTGTCACAGTTTAAACATAAAGAAATGAGATTATGTTGACTGTCACAGATTAAACATAAAGAAATGAGATTATGTTAATTCTCACAGATTAAACATAAAGAAATGAGATTATGTTAATTCTCACAGATTAAACATAAAGAAATGAGATCATGTTGACTGTCACAGATTAAACACTGTCACAGATTAAACATAAAGAAATGAGATCATGTTAATTCTCACTGTTTAAACATAAAGAAATGAGATTATGTTGACTGTCACAGATTAAACATAAAGAAATGAGATCATGTTAATTCTCACTGTTTAAACATAAAGAAATGAGATCATGTTAATTCTCACTGTTTAAACATAAAGAAATGAGATTATGTTGACTGTCACAGATTAAACATAAAGAAATGAGATCATGTTAATTCTCACAGATTAAACATAAAGAAATGAGATTATGTTAATTCTCACAGATTAAACATAAAGAAATGAGATCATGTTGACTGTCACAGATTAAACATAAAGAAATGAGATTATGTTGACTGTCACAGATTAAACATAAAGAAATGAGATCATGTTAATTCTCACAGATTAAACATAAAGAAATGAGATCATGTTGACTGTCACAGTTTAAACATAAAGAAATGAGATTATGTTGACTGTCACAGATTAAACATAAGAAATGAGATCATGTTGACTCTCACTGTTTAAACATAAAGAAATGAGATCATGTTAATTCTCACTGTTTAAACATAAAGAAATGAGATCATGTTAATTCTCACTGTTTAAACATAAAGAAATGAGATTATGTTGACTGTCACAGATTAAACATAAAGAAATGAGATTATGTTGACTGTCACAGTTTAAACATACTGGAATGAGGTCGTGGTGACTTTCCTACTTTAAATATAAAGAAACGAGATCATGTTAACTCTCACATTTTAGATATAAAGAAAAGCAATCAAGTTGACTTTTACAGTTTAAATATATAAAAATCTTGTCAGTTTTTACTAATTTTGTCTACTCTAAAAGCATCTGTCTTTCGATTGGTTGCAGACTAAGAATGTTCTGTCTGATTTTTAGTTTAAACATGTAAAAATAAAATTACATACAAGATATATACATATGTAACCACCAAGGGTATCATGTTGTCACAGTGGTGTGGTTTCACTTTAACATAGTAATGAAAAATATTCTCATTTTAAAATCCTTTACTTTTTTTCCATTTTACTTAACCCTATTCTGAATTAGTCACTGCTTAATAAATAATAGATCAGAAAGCATTAGCCTTTCAAATTTGACTTTGATTTCAAAGATCATGTGTTGGAGTCTGGAATTGAAAAGCAATCTTTGAAAACAGCTCTATAGCCAAGATATGTTTTTTTTTTTTTAAAAACTCAATGAAACAAAAGCACTTTCAAACTTGAAGCATAGATTTTAACAGTGTCCCTATCTAAAGTTTAGCATTGAAATATCTTCAATTTGGAAATATGTGTACAAATTCATCTTTGACACCAGAAATAAATGCAATCTTTTGAAATTTTGATTCTAGAAATTAAGCATTTGTAATATCCAATTCTCAAATACTAACATTTTAGTCTTGACTCCAGTCACACACTAAAACTGGCTTCACATTCGAGTTGTAATACACTCAAACTTTTTTTATGACTCCAGATTCAATCTGTCACACACTCAACCTTTGACTCAATGTTTCAGCTGTCACACACTCAAACTTTGACTTTAGATTCCAGCTATCACACATTCAAACTTTGACTTAAGATTCCAACTGTCACACACTCAAACTTTGACTCCAGATTCCAGCTATCACACACTCAAACTTTGACTCAATATTTCAGCTGTCACACACTCAAACTTCAACTCCAGATTCCACCTATCACACACTCAAACTTCAACTCCAGATTCCACCTATCACACACTCAAACTTTGACTCTATATTCCATCTGTCACACATTCAAACTTTGACTTTAGATACCAGCTGTCACACTCTCACACTTTGACTTTAGATTCCAGCTGTCACACTCTCAAATTTTGACTCTATATTTTTGCTGTCACACACTCAAACTTCAACTCCAGATTCCACCTATCACACACTCAAACTTCAACTCCAGATTCCACCTATCACACACTCAAACTTTGACTCTATATTCCATCTGTCACACATTCAAACTTTGACTTTAGATACCAGCTGTCACACTCTCACACTTTGACTTTAGATTCCAGCTGTCACACTCTCAAATTTTGACTCTATATTTTAGCTGTCACACACTCAAACTTTGACTCCAGATTCCAGCTGTCACACACTCAAACTTTGACTTTAGATACCAGCTGTCACACTCTCAAATTTTGACTTTAGATACCAGCTGTCACACAATCAAACTTTGACTCAATATTTCAGCTGTCACACACTTCCAAACTTTGACTCTATATTCCAGCTGTCACACACTCGAACTTTGACATTAGATTCCAACTGTCACACACTCAAACTTTGACTCAATATTTCAGCTGTCACACGCTCAAACTTTGACTTTAGATTCCAGGTGTCACACACTCAAACTTTAACTCTGTATTTCAGCTGTCACACACACAACTTTACTTTCAGATTCCATTTAGTTTTGCACATTGATTGAGGTGCTTTCTTAGTGTATGTACATTTTTCCATTATTTTTTGCCTTATTAAACATTTTTGACATGAAGCTGACTTATTCTAAATTTTTATCCTTGTTCTATTCATTTTTTGATTTGTAAAATAGGTTCATTATAACTTAGCTGCTATTTTCTTATGTTTATTTAAACTAAAACTAGTAACTTGTTTATGAAACATTGAAAAATTATTTCAGCTTTACGATTTCAAAAATGGTATTCAGTCAAATTCACTTACACATTACATGTATAGTATAATGAAAACACAATATTTTTTCTCCTTTTCAGCAAAAGGAATAATTATTGCATGCTTTGTATCAGTGGTTATCAGATAGAGATCTGAATAATTGTAATTTTAATGTGAATCTTTAGAAACCTCTCTCTATACTTTTGAAAGCATCAAATACCTTTTTGTTGGTTAGGGTAGGATTAACTGATGTAAACTTCTGTTGACATATTTGTAAAGTGTCGCATTGAATATTTGTCTGTTATGTAAGTTTTTGAAAAAAGTTTTCCTCCAAATAAAACTTTTACACATTTTCCATCTGGTGGGAGGAAAGGTGCAACTGAAAATATTTAATAGTTTTTGTGCTTTGGTGGGTTAATCTTTTGATAGCAAACCTGGAGAAATGGAGACCACAGAACCACATGACACAAGTGAAACTCTAGAACTTGATTAGAAGATCATTTCATTGTGATTTATATTTAAATGACTACGCTTCGCTCCGAGAGAAAAAAATGAGCTCCCAAACTGTCGGATAAGAAGGATTAGAACCAGTTTGTTTACTGATTTGTTTACTGTTTAGAAATCTTGGTTCGGTGGTCCCTGGCTCGTCTTTTTTGTTTTTACTGTACATTGTACACAGACAGTGTTAACTATCGAAGCTTGTTGTACTGAAGTTCGCTTTTGGTTGGACTGATCTTACATGTTGTATACTGGTAAAGGTTTCTTTGACTTGTCTTCTACCGACGTTGTACAGCTTGTTTACTACCTGATAACTGCGCTGATATTGTGCTGATTGTGTACTGCCTTGAGCTGATCTGTACTTCTCAGACTGATTTAAAACTGAAATATTGCTATGCTGACCTTGTTGACTTTATGCTGACACTATACTGACAGTGTACTGCCTGATCTGTGTTCAAGTGACATACTTCTACTGACTATGCTGTATGTATGCTGATAATATCATCTACTGCCTGATTTGTGTTATACTTACATACTGCTTTTCTGACCTTGCTTACCATAAGCTGACATAATACTGATTACCTGATCTGTGTTTGGAGTGGCATACTGCTATGCTGACCTAGCTGACTATTAGCTGACACAGTACTGATTGTGTACTGCCTGATCTGTGCTTATACTGATATTATACTGCCTATATTGACCTGAACCTTATTGACCTTGCTGATATAGCTATACAACATGTATACCACCTAACCTGTGCTTATACTTTGGACTTGAACATCTTTGATTCTTCTAATCTATATTCATTATGTACTGCCAGACCATGTACTTATACCGATATTGTGCTGCTTGTATTGATCTAAAGTTTATGTTGACACGGTTCTGGTTTTGTACTGCCTGACATTTTATTTATGCTGATATTGTGCTGTCTTACCTGTATTTAGACTTTATTGACACTATACTGATATTGAACTGCCTGACCTGAACTTTGCTGACTTTGCTGATACTATACTGATTGTGTACTGCCTATATTGATGTGTGTTTTCTGTGTGGGATATGTCAGGGTAAAGGTATTCACATCCCTGGCATCACAAACCCACAGTTTTCTCAGCACGTTCTGGACCGGAGTCGCCGTCTTCTTACATTGGTATGTTTTTCCACCTTCAAGATCTGCCCTGGCCATGTGACTTGACAAACCATTGTAGAAGTTAGATGAATGGTTAAAGTGTGGTCTGGAGGATGTTTTACATGTTTATATACAAAGGGGAGACAATCATAAGACATATTGAGTTTTAGTTATATGGTGTCACTCAGATTTGATTAATGTGAAGTATTCCTTTTGTTGAAATTGGAAGAACAATTGCCAGGTAGGGTCAAGAATTGAATGTGGTTATAGGTTGAATAAGATTCCCAGATAGATGAACCATTAGATGAATTTGGTTTTGTCTGACGAAGGTTTACCATTTGATGAATTTGGTTTTGTCTGACGAAGGTTTAGCATTAGATGAATTTGGTTTTGTCTGATGATGGTTTAGCATTAGATGAATTTGGTTTTGTCTGACGAAGGTTAAGCATTAGATGAATTTGGTTTTGTCTGACGAAGGTTTAGCATTAGATGAATTTGGTTTTGTCTGATGAAGGTTTAGCATTAGATGAATTTAGTTTTGTCTGATGAAGGTTAAGCATTAGATGAATTTGGTTTTGTCTGACGAAGGTTTAGCATTAGATGAATTTGGTTTTGTCTGATGAAGGTTTAGCATTAGATGAATTTAGTTTTGTCTGATGAAGGTTTAGCATTAGATGAATTTAGTTTTGTCTGATGAAGGTTTAGCATTAGATGAATTTGGTTTTGTCTGATGATGGTTTTAGCATTAGATGAATTTGGTTTTGTCTGATGAAGGTTTAGCATTAAATGAATTTGGTTTTGTCTGATGAAGGTTAAGCATTAGATGAATTTGGTTTTGTCTGATGATGGTTAAGCATTAGATGAATTTGGTTTTGTCTGATGAAGGTTTAGCATTAGATGAATTTAGTTTTGTCTGATGAAGGTTTAGCATTAGATGAATTTGGTTTTGTCTGCTGAAGGTTTAGCATTAGATGAATTTAGTTTTGTCTGATGAAGGTTTAGCATTAGATGAATTTAGTTTTGTCTGATGAAGGTTTAGCATTAGATGAATTTGGTTTTGTCTGATGAAGGTTTAGCATTAAATGAATTTGGTTTTGTCTGATGAAGGTTAAGCATTAGATGAATTTGGTTTTGTCAGATGAAGGTTTACCATTTGATGAATTTGGTTTTGTCTGATGAAGGTTTTAGCATTAGATGAATTTGGTTTTGTCTGATGATGGTTTTAGCATTAGATGAATTTAGTTTTGTCTGATGATGGTTTTAACATTAGATGAATTTGGTTTTGTCTGATGAAGGTTTAGCATTAAATGAATTTGGTTTTGTCTGATGAAGGTTAAGCATTAGATGAATTTGGTTTTGTCTGATAATGGTTTTAGCATTAGATGAATTTAGTTTTGTCTGATGAAGGTTAAGCATTAGATGAATTTGGTTTTGTCTGATGAAGGTTAAGCATTAGATGAATTTGGTTTTGTCTGATGATGGTTTTAGCATTAGATGAATTTGGTTTTGTCTGATGAAGGTTAAGCATTAGACGAATTTAGTTTTGTCTGATGAAGGTTAAGCATTAGATGAATTTGGTTTTGTCTGATGAAGGTTAAGCATTAGATGAATTTGGTTTTGTCTGATGAAGGTTAAGCATTAGATGAATTTAGTTTTGTCTGATGAAGGTTAAGCATTAGATGAATTTGGTTTTGTCTGATGAAGGTTAAGCATTAGATGAATTTGGTTTTGTCTGATGAAGGTTAAGCATTAGATGAATTTGGTTTTGTCTGATGAAGGTTTACCATTAGATGAATTTGGTTTTGTCTGATGAAGGTTTACCATTAGATGAATTTGGTTTTGCTGGATTAAGGTGTACATTTAGATAAAGATGAAAATGAAACATCTAATGATGTAAGTTTGAAGTGAGAGGAGTTTTGCTGATTAAGTGTTAAGTTGATAAACAAACATGTGAATGTGAAGTGCTTGGCCAGGGTTGACTGTTGTATGGTGATGTATCCCTGTCATCTCCTGACTCCCATGTATGATGCCCTTTGTAACATTGTTGTCTGTCAGTTGTTTTCCATTTTGTTATTGTGCTGTATATATATATATATATATATTTTAGAATTTATATTTCACTTTATTTTTTATGTCTGAGATGACACATTACTACTGAATGGTAAATGGATGACACTTCATGGCCTTGACCTTTTGTTGTTGGCTGATTAAGGGTTGGAAATCCAATAAAAGCAAAAATCTGTTTGTGTACTTTCACCTCAGACATGCAGCCTGAGTTTGCTTTTTGGTGTTGTTTTGTGCTGTTTTATTTTGGTGTTGTTTACAAGCTATGTTGTTTATTTGTCATTTCTTTTTTATTTCTGGTGTTCACTGGTAGGATCATTATTTATTGTTGTACAGAACTTCTAACTGTGTACTGCTTCATGTTTCTCTATCTTCCTACAATTACCAAGGTATTCAAGTTAACAATTATTTGGTAAATGAAATTTTTATTTGATGCTTTGATAAAAAAAAAATATTTTTGATTATTATAAATACATCAGTACCTTTTACCTTGTGTATTCACAGTACACAAAAACAAATGATAGGTTAAAAAAAGTAGCAAAACATTTTTTAAGTATAGACTAACTGAATCTGTCAAGTCAGCAAATTTCTAGCTGAAATATCAATGTATGCAAAAGTATTCAAATATAAACAAAGTCTTATCTTGGAAATGCATTCATTTCCTCAATTTCAGTCAAAAAATCATTTGTTTATACTATTTTGGAATATGATGTTGACATATTGTGAATGATGATGCATGGTTATACTGACGATTCAGTGATCTTCCCGAGTTCTCACGTATGTCATTTATGAACTGTGGAAATGTAGCCATGCAATATCTGAATATATTTGAATATATTACTTCAGTTAATTATGGATTTGCTTTATGTATGGTAAATAACACTTAAATAGGTTACCCCTACTCAGTTTCAATCATACATTATTTTAAGCCCACTATCAAATGATGGTGAGTCATTCAAATCACCTGATGTCAATGTTCTGTCATCTGTTGTCAGTCTGTCCAGAATCAGTTATTCTTATCAATGTTTCTTGAAAAGTAATGGTTACTATCTACATTTTTTGATTTTGAAATTTCATATAGAAAGGAAAAGATTTGACTTACAAAGAATTAATAAAGATCAAACAATGGTTGGTGCCAGGAGTGCTCTGAAATCTCTTGTTCTGTGATGATGTTTGATTTTTCTTTCTAAGCTTATCTAATTATCTGATTTAATAAATAACATCCATGGACGAAATTGATAGCTTATGTCACAATACTGCTGTAATATTTGTCACATGTGGCCTATGGCATTCCATATATGTTTAGCTGATTGGTTAGAGTGTTGTGTATTCACTTATCATAATTGAGTTATATAGGATATCTAAAACCTAGGATTTACACAGGAATGAAAGCAATTTAAGACAGACAGAAGGAATCATAATTTAAGTTTAACTTAAATTAATGATGTATAAGGTTTATACAGAAAATCTGCTACAGCATTTGATGATAATACTTGTATGTATGGAACTAGTGGCTCAGAGAAGGGTTAAAACTTGAAAACACACAGAAATGTGGTCTTTGCCAGGGAATATAATTATCATGCATTTATATTAAAGATTATTTTATTGCAGCATGAGAATCACAAAATTGTTTTATTTTTTTTTTTGCCAAAAATGCTTAAGATTTTATATATTTACTGTATCATTACTGTTTTCGTTTGTGTATTTGGTATTGTTATTGAATGTATTTCAGGAGTCTCTATTAGTTAAATTGTTGTTTTGTATATTGCTTTTTGAGTTTTATAGTACAATTCATTCAGGCATAGTTGATTTTGTTAATAAAAATTGTGATGTAGATTTACTTCCATTTTCTTTTTTCATTGAAGATATTGTTTTGTTCATTACATTAAGACAATTAAATTTCAGGAAAAATTATAATACCTAGCTTTTTATTATTGAAAGAGTTATGGATTCCAGTAATTAATGATAAATGGAAAAGATTTTTGTCCAAAGAGATATGTAATATCGCTGAGAAACTAAAGTTGATATATTGCTGAGAATGTAAGCATGTTGATATCAACAGATGTTACTGACCTACTGATATGGTGTGTTTTTACAGTTACTACGCCGTCCTGTGTCTGGTGTTAGACGGATAGGCTCCCATCCTAACCTTCCACATTGTAAGTTATAACAAAATACATCAAATTCAAATGATTTCCAATACTTGATGGTACACTATTTATAGAGTTTCAAAATATATACAAATAGCAGCACTGTTTGGAGACATATAAAACTTGCTACGTTTGTGTACATGTATACTTACCAATCCAATGTTCAATATCGTAACTGATCATTATAAGTCTATGTGAATAGAAGTTCTGATTTTCCCATCAGAAAATCAGGTGTGATGTTTTAATGATTGCCACTCCCATCAAACAAGTGACCAGTGTGAAGTGTATAGCACTGAGCTTTAGAGTGTACAAACTAGGTATGAAATCGTATTTGCACCGAGCTTTAGAGTGTACAAACTAGGTATGAAATCGTATTTGCACCGAGCTTTAGAGTGTACAAACTAGGTATGAAATCGTATTTGCACCGAGCTTTAGAGTGTACAAACTAGGTATGAAATCGTATTTGCACCGAGCTTTAGAGTGTACAAACTAGGTATGAAATCGTATTTGCACTGAGCTTTAGAGTGTACAAAATTGATATGAAATCATAGGACTTTTTTGCTGTACTATGATCTTGAGTACACTAAGCTGAAAAGTAATCTGAAGAAATGGTTACAAGATTTAAGGTGACAACAATGAATTGACTTATGAAAGTCGATTTGGCTATACTGTTGTTGCTTGATGTAAGATGTTGTTGCTTAAGTGTGACATGTTTTGCATTTTATTAAACCAGACCTGACTGGCGGATCAGATGGAAGCGTCAGACTGTATGAATGGGGCCATGTTCAGCCTCTGGCCATGCTTAGACAACCAGGCGTGTTTCCAAAAGTAACGAAAGTTCTGTTTAGTTCCCAAGGAAACAAGGTAAACATGGTTACATGATGTTCCTAGAAAATCAAATTAGGTGATCTGTGTCAGTGTTGTGAAGCTGATATTAAGAAATAACTTCAGCTAAGTAATCCTATGAAAATTCCCTGAATACATATATATGTTACAATGTTATGTTGTCTCTAACAGTATTGTGTCAGTGACAGAGGGAGACATCTGTTTGTGTGAGTTACAATGTTATGTTGTCTATAACAGTGTTATTTTAGAGACATTGAGGGAGACATCTGTTTGTGGGAGAATAACATGTTATAACGCTATGTTGTCTATTGTAGTGCTGTGTCAGTGATACAGAGGGAGACATCTGTTTGTGGCAGGTTGGACTCGGCAGCAACTTCAATAAACCCATCATGGTAACATGCAAACAATAACTTTATTTTCATTTTATGTGATATTATTGAAAGGAATACTGAGGTTTTCTTTTTTGAAAGGCGATGGAAAGATGGAAACAATTAATAGAATTGTTCATTCCCTTTAGGGTGTGATAGGGAGATCTCAACCTGAGGGGAAACGTCATTGCATTGTCAGACAGGAGGCTTGGCAAGTGTTTTACAACCTGATAACCTTTCCCTGAGTGTTGAAAACTCCTTATCTAATACTAAAAGGGATGAATAATTATTTTTCTTTTACCCAGTTTTCCTTGTCCGAGTGCAAGACAAAATGTATTGTGTGTAAACAAAAACATATAGATGGCATATGAATAGTGACTTTTTAATGTACTGAACATGTGGAGGAACTGGCCTTCAGCTCTGACCTAAAAAAATGACTGAAGTCAAACTCATCATCTGCCAAACCTTGGGAAAAATTATCAAGCTAACACTCGACAAGCCTCATGTTTGACAACTTAATCATTTTCCCCTTCGGGTTGAGATCCCCTTATCTCACCCTAAAGGAAGTGAAATCCTATAAATCTCACACTGGGAAAAAGCACTGATATACCTGTCCAGGATAAGAGAAAACATAAATAGTTTGAATCCATAAGTGTAAAGAATCAAGGAAAAAAGGTCTAAATTACTTAACAATTACATAAATTACTTTGATATATTTATAATTTATGAAATTTAAGATTAATATGTTATTTAATTAAATATTGAAAGTGAGTTGTTTTCTGCCCTCACTTTAGGTAGACATATTTCTATGTTTAATCATATCTTTTTACAGAAACTCAAATGCCATAACAAGACAACCAGTGACTTTGCATTTGTGGGGTCATCAAGTCTGATAGCTACTGCTGGTCACTCCTCCGAAAGCCGCAATGTATGTCTTTGGGACACTCTACTTCCCCAGAGGAGTGCCTGTGTACATGGTCAGTGCTCCTGTCATCTGCATTCCTCTTGACAGTGTGTTTTGGTTCATTTCTAGAATATTGGTGTGGCTAGACATCAGTTTATTAAATCAGATATTGTGATACCTCAGAATTGAAAGTAGAAAATACTGGTAGATATATAGATAATTCTTTATCTTTAACTATGTAGGTGAAAGATAACAGTACATGCTTTTTCTGTACAGGTTAGAAAATCCTATTTTCATGTCATGGGTAACTGTTCTATGTCAGTATAAAACATAAGTGATGAAATCAGAATGGCTGTACTAAATGCTGTCAATACATGTCATATGTAATGTACCATTGAATATATTATAGAAATCAGAGTGCTCTGCTATTCATATTAGAAATGTTGTATTACATTGTAACTATTCACATTGTCAGCAAGCTATGCAGATCATTTATTGAGTAGGGAGTATTGGTTATAGCTATTAATTGTTGAGAGTCTCTAGAGAAATGATGTCAGAGAAACTATAAACTTTATTTGTTTTACAACAATTGCAAAATGAGTTATTTCAACTTATACTAATCACTCTTGTTTGCCCGGATGTAAGTGTGCCAGAGGTCTAATTGTGGGAGGAAACCAGAGTACATACGGAAAACCCACATGGTCGGGCAGGTGACCCTTACCTTTTCACATCCGTTCAAGGAGTCAAACCTCGGACGGCTAGGTGAAATGTGAGTGCGTAATCACTGCGCCACCAGAGAACTGGTGTCAGAGGCTTTATAGAGAAATAGATACTGGGATTTTCTGGGAAATCTTTTTTCTCTTTCTGTATATATGACATTGAAAGTTTGATTGTTTCAGCGTTTATCTGCCATGAACATGGCTGCCCTGCTGTAGTGTATGCACCACACCATCAGCTCCTGATCAGTGGGGGACGCAAGGGAGAAATATGTATCCTTTTGTAAACATGTAACTAAAGTAAGATGTAAATCTTATACTAAAACTTACCTGGTAAATGTAACATACAATTACAGTTGTGTTTTGGTAGAAAAGATTGTCATCTATTCATCAGGATAATCAGGCGATTGTACAGTGTGTTTGTGCTACAGTCATAGCTTATGAATACATTTAACATCAATATTTAGTTCACCAGCCCAAAGGGTATCTGAGTTTATATCATGCTGCAGCACATAGTCCATTTGTCCTCTGTCATTTGACATCTGCCAAGATTCAAGTCTTTCATTTTAACAACTTCTTAAAAACAAAATGTCCAGGGTAAGGATGTTTTTCCTGTTGCACACTGAGATGAAGTGACTGTCAAGTTCTTTCAAGGTCTTATAGGTCAATTGTGTTCAAATCTACAAATGCCTTCTTCTCAATTTCCAATATTCCTGGGGTCTTGATATTTGTTCAGTAGTAAGCTTGATAAAGGACATTCCATTTTGTTGAAATGAATTTCAAGGTCAGAGGTTTCAAATGGGTTAAAATCTTCAAATGACTACACAAAAAGTCCAAGATCATATTAATTGACCTGTATTTGATCTGTGTTGAATGGCTGTCAAATTTGTTCAAATGGATGTCCTTGGCTGACTTTTCAACCTCACATGAGTCAAATATGTTAAAAACCCTCAAATGACATTTTTGCAGTAACTTAAAGGCCCAGGGTGAAAGTCTTTGTGTAGAAGCATGCTTGAGAAATGGGATTTCAACTTGGCCAAATTAGAAGATTCAGAATTTTCATAACTTGCAGAACAGGTGAACAATATAGGATCATTAGGCCTCTTGTGTTAGTGAATCAAGTCTCAAATCAAAGAATCAAATCATAATAAAATCCAAACAAAAAACAGGTTTTTGTTAAACAGTACATTTGTTTCTAATGTATAATTATAACTGTTTCATGGTTTGAGATGTGTGATTAGAGTCATGGCATTGGGATATATTGGCCTTTCACATATTGTGCATTACAAACTCCTTGACTCAAGACCAGGTATATTTGACATCAGACAGAGACAGATACGCCACACATTCCAGGCCCATGACTCTGCTATCCGGTGCTTGTCTATGGACCCAGAAGAGGAGTACTTTGTAACAGGATCGTCTGAAGGAGATATCAAGGTAACACCTACTCACTTAAGGCTCAGCCAGGTTTGGAAGAATTATTGCTCTTTGCTCTTTTCAGCATGTGCTATTTTCTGTAGATTGTCTCCATCAGTTTTCAACAATTTTCTTCCTAACATATTTGGATTTATTGAAATACATTAAATTGCATTTTTTCTCAGAGACATTTTGGTGAGACAATACAATGATATACTGGTAATTTCTCTTGCATGGGATGGACATATGTTGTTTCAATCGCTGTTTTCACTACTTGTGATTCGTACTTGACAAGATATATATAATGACAGACCTTGAGACACAGTAAGCTTGTACACCCTTTTTGGGGCCTTTAAGGTAGAGAGTACTAACACAGGTTTTTTTAATGTTAGGTATGGGGCTTGGACGTTCACCAGCTGGTTGTAGGCTTTCCAGGAGAACATAGCAAAAACACATTCTTCCGAAATATGGGTGCTGCATCTGGTGTGACTCAAGTTTCTATTGGCTCAACACATCACATGTTCTCCTGTGGAGTTGATGGGTCAATGAAGTTCAGGGCCTTACCAGAACGTGAGACAATTGTAAGGTACTGGTCTGCCACCTAGAGCTGTACAAGGTGACATTTAGGATACAGCTTTGTCCATCTCCATGGAGATCGCCATGGAGACGGTGGAATTTTCCACCACACTTTGTTGTGATTAGAAACGGATTTGAAATGAGACTGTTGATTTTTTGCCAAGAATAAAAATTGTTATGCTTTCCTGTTACAATGTAGGTTACATATGCTTGAAAAAGTTTAGAACTTTGACTTGTTATATTATGTTGGTGTTTTCCCTCAAAGAAGAATTATTTTGTTTTGTTTCTGTTTTTTCTGAATATGTGTATTGAATTGTTTTGAATCAGATTATTCAGAAGCCATATCTTGTAGTCAAATTGATTTCTATTGTAAAAGAACTCTTTTAAGATGTCTATTACCATCAAAGATTCAATACCAATTAATATGAAGAGACTGGTAAAAAGTATGTTTTTGTTGTTTTGCTTGTTAACTAAATAGAGATTAATTGTGAAATTTGTCAAAATTTTTATGTGTAAGATATAAATTGCATGAGACTAGATCAACTGCAACAGGACTGGAGAAAAACAGCAAAATATTAAAGGGATGCCATTTAGAACTGGGGGGAAACCACATACGACAGAGGCAACCTACCTAGAATTGATGGAAACCACATTGAACTAGAGGGAAACTACATGGGACAGAGAACAACTACTTAGAACTGAGGTGGTTTTAAAGAGGGAAACTACCTAGAACTGAAGGGTAACCACATTGAACTAGAGGGAAACTTTAAGGGACAGTGGGAAACTAACTAGAACTGAGGGAAACCACATTGCAATGGAGGAAAATTCCCTAGAATTGGAGGGAAACCACATTAAACTGAGGGTAACTACATTTATCAGTGAAACTGAGAGAATGTTCATAGAACTTGTTTTAAGAGAAAGCACAGACACCAACTACAAACATGCTACTTGCCCCTTTGAGAGCCGAACAAGATATGATTCAAAAGCAATAGTAGATTATTCCAGTTAAAGAAAAATTTCAATGATATGAAGATTTAAAATTAAGATTAACAAGTATGCTGCATAAAACATGTTAATCAAATTATTTGCCAGTGAAATTTGAACTGTGATAAACAGATTCTGTGATAAAAAGAATTCCTTTGAGAGGATTAACCTGTTGATATGTTACTAAACTTTCACATCAATGAAGTTAAGGTTTAAAATGGTTTGAGGTCAGGTTTTGGAAAGATTTAGTAAAATTAGGAGTAAATACAAGCTTTGAAGAAGTTATTTGTTTTTTTCATCTGTTTAATTAAAAATAAGTTGATAACATAATTTTTACTTCAGCTGTAACAGAATGTAACTCTTAAATGATCAAAGTTACACACACTTCACATCTTAATAGAAACATCATTAATGTCAAAATGTTCAGATTAAATGAGCCTGAGAAAGTCTGTCACAAGAATTTCTTCCTGAATATGCTCAACTGTAGGATTGTTATAAAATGATCTATAGAATTCCTTGTATATAAGTTTGATTTGGAGATGGTAGTCGAAATTATTATCATTTCAGAAAAGTTTCATGCTGGCATTCATATCATCCCTCCGCTTTCTGTTTTGATATCCGCCATAACAAATGTAGAGCCACATTACAGCAATACTATAACTGCACATTAACAATTCATAACATTGAGACAAGGGAAGCATTTCTTACAGGGTTAGTTCAGCATACATGATAAGGGAAAAGTATTGGGTGTATTATGGCTGAGATGGTGGAACGTCAAGTCTGGGGGAAAATTCATTAAGAACACTTAGCATTTGAAAGATTTAATTAATATCACATTGGTTCCACATACATGTATTAAGATCTTAACAATATCACATAAGAGTTGTCAAGGTATTGTCATGACTACTTGTGACCTTGTCCTGTCTGTCGCTACTTCAGCTTCTCTGTCATGTTTCAAAATTTATTTACATAAGTACTTAATGATTAATGATCATTGTAAAGAGTGATATAGAATATTTGTAAATACATACTAAAGGAGGTTTGAATAGAGGTTGATAATGGATATAACTAGATTTTAGATATATTTGAATTGTTAATAAATATAAATAAATCCAATATTGAATGTGCATAGTGACATTGTGTGTGTTAGAGTGATAGATCAAATGCTTGTCTTTAGTCAGTGATTTCATTGATTTAGCCATTAAATATTTATATGGTTGCATCAATTCATTAAAATTGAATGTGAAATAATTGTTTATTGTCAACATTAAAGAAAAGGAATGGCCATTTTGCTTTTAAATATCAATAAGGATCCGTGATTAAGATCTATAATGAATTTTATTTATATCCGACATTAAATATGCACAATATATCACTTCATAGTGTGTTATCATCTCACCATGTAGTTATTTATTGATATTACGTGAGTTTTTACTATAGAATTAGAATATTCCTATGTGTAAGGGTCATAACCTTGTATAGAGTGTATTAGTGTTAATCTTATTGTAGTCCTATCTTATGTTAGGTGATTTTAGTCGTGACCAGTAAATATAAACCATTTGCGTGAAGGGGTATAAAAGAATCCCAGTAGTTCTATTGGCAGATATTTAGATTCTTTCCCCTAATGTGATACTTCTTAATTGTGTATCTGATATGGTATATGAGGCTCAATGAATGAAATATTTGTTTGAAAAGTCACTTGTTTAAACGCAGTGGTGTTACCATAGCAATGGTGTATTGTGGTAAGATTACCTGGTTGTCATGGCAATGATGTAATGAGGTTAGATTACTTGGTTATGAAGGCAATGGTAAGCGGTTGCCATGGAAATGATACAGTGATGTTTGCTTACGCAGTTACCAATGACATGGTGTAGTGAGGTACTCGAATGAAAACATTCCATTTGATCTTCTTGTCAAAGTCAACATTATTTCCTGTCGTTATTTGTTTGGTAAAATATTTGGAGGATATTGATATAACCACAGTGACATTCCTTCATTCCATACAACTTTCCATTTTTAGAATAGCTTTTTCTTTACCATAGGAATAACTTCTACCGTTTCAACATTTAATTATATCTTGTTTTCTCGGTGAAATGGAAAAAAAATGTACTTTTTGTCACCTTTGAAATACAATTGATGTTAACTTTTTTCTCAGAGCAAACAATTTCTCCATAATCACAGCTTATGTAGGGTTTAAGTCAGAATATGATGGCATTATTCTGTCACCATGGAAATCATGACATCATTCTGTTACCATGGAAATCATACTGTCATCTAGTCATCATGAAAATTATGACAGATCTGTCACCTGCATGAGAATCATGGTGTCATTTTGTCACCATAGAAACCCTGCTATCCCCACCCATTCTATTGCCATGGAAATCACGATGTCATTTTGTCACCATAGAAACCCTGCTATCCCCACCCATTCTATTGCCATGGAAATCATGATGTCATTTTGTCACCATAGAAACCCTGCTATCCCCACCCATTCTATTGCCATGGAAATCATGATGTCATTTTGTCACCATAGAAACCCTGCTATCCCCACCCATTCTATTGCCATGGAAATCATGATGTCATTTTGTCACCATAGAAACCCTGCTATCCCCACCCATTCTATTGCCATGGAAATCATGATGTCACTCTGAAATCATTATTTTGTTCTGGTTGATTCCACCGACTTTCATCTAGTTATGTTTAGAGGAAATGTAGAGAATGTGTGATGAATCATTTGTTTCCATGGTTACTACTAAACTGTGATACTTTTTCTCATATGTAAATTAGATATATTGAATGTGAAAGTGGAATGTTCTTTGACTTGTGGAATATCTAGAAGCATGCAACTTTCAAGATGTACATTGTGTTATTCTATGTGTATGTATCATAGAAATTGTATCATTGTAGGATGTACATGTTGTAAGTAATATTGATTACAGCACTTGATAATGTCAAATGAAAGTTTAGTCGGGGCTGAGCAATATCTGGTGTATTAATTAGTCTGTGACGACATTACAAATTTCCATTATGTTGCAGTATTAGATAATAGATTTGTTTTATTTGCATTGTGCATACTAGATTTTTTAAAAATTCATACACTATATACAGTATAATATGTATTAAGATACCTATGTCAAGACAATTGAGTGCAATGTTTGTAGGTTGCCTGCATTCTGATATTCACTGTGTGTGACTTAGCCCTGGATCTATGTGTCTGCTTTCTCTGCATGGGTATCATATTCTGAAGAATTGAGCCAAGGAAACATGTCTATTAAGAGAAATTTCTTACAATATTTGTTTTTAAACTGGAAAATTGATAATAAGTCTAAGAGAAGTATTTGTCTTTGCCTGTATGTAGCCTACCTTGTACCACTGCTGGCCAATGTGATCTGTAAAACAAACTGGTATTCCTAGTTTGTGCATGTCATTCTGTTTGTACACACCTTATTTACTCTAGGTGTGTTGGCATTTGTTTACATAAATAGTTTGTGTATGATGTGATCATACTTTGAATGAATTGTAAGCATACACTCAAAATGTAAGTATACATTGTGTTTTTACCATACACACATATACATTATGTACAATGTATACTTACAAACCTATGTAAAAAAGTGAACTTCATCTATAATGTAGCTAACTCTGAGTAAACTACAACAGTACATTCTTTATAATGTAACTGGTTACAGAACTCTTTTGTTATAACATAACTTGTGTCGTTCCTGTGTATACCACATGACAACAGTCCACCTGTGCTATACATAGCCTAGTTTGTCGTTTCTCTAAAAGATGAAGGTGGTGTTTTAATCATTGAAATAATCTGATCTGATGAAATTGTGTAAATTAAAGTTAGCTAGACTCATTCCCGAGTAAATTTTCTACCACAATAAGCACTGATAAGTCATTACAATTGTTGTATATATAAGTATTTATACTACATGTGAATGAATTGTATGTCTGTGTGTCTAGATACAGTGGTATTTACTGTGTATCTAGATATAGTGATATTTACTATGTGTCTAGATACAGTGGTATTTACTATGTGTCTAGATACAGTGGTATTTATTGTGTGTCTAGATACAGTGGTATTTACTGTGTGCCTAGATACAGTGGTTTTTACTGTGTGTCTAGATACAGTGGTATTTACTATGTGTCTAGATACAGCGGTAATTACTGTGTGTCTAGATACAGTGGTATTTACTGTATGTCTAGATACAGTGGTATTTACTGTGTGCCTAGTTACAGTGGTATTTACTGTGTACGGTGTGTCTAGATACAGTGATTTACTATGTGTCTAGATACAGTGGTATTTACTGTGTGCATAGATACAGTGGTATTTACTGTGTGCCTAGATACAGTGGTATTTACTGTGTATCTAGATACAGTGGTATTTACTGTGTGTCTAGATACAGTGGTTTTTTAATGTGTGGCTAGATACAGTGGGTTTTTAATGTGTGTCTAGATACAGTGGGTTTTTAATGTGTGTCTAGATACAGTGGTAATAACTGTGTGTCTAGATACTGTGGTATTTACTTTGTGGCTTGTAACAGTGGTTTTTAAGGTTCGGCTAGATACAGTGGTAATTACTGTGTATCTAGATACAGTGGTATTTACTGTGTGTCTAGATACAGTGGTATTTACTGTGTATCTAGATACAGTGGTATTTACTGTGTGCCTAGATACAGTGGTATTTACTGTGTGTCTAGATACAGTGGTATTTACTGTGTATCTAGATATAGTGATATTTACTATGTATCTAGATACAGTGGTTTTTATTGTGTGGCTAGATTCAGTGGTATTTACTGTGTATCTAGATACAGTGGTATTTACTGTGTATCTAGATACAGCGGTAATTACTGTGTGTCTAGATACAGCGGTAATTACTGTGTGTCTAGATACAGCGGTAATTATTGTGTGTCTAGATACAGCTGTAATTACTGTGTGTCTAGATACAGCTGTAATTACTGTGTGTCTAGATACAGTGGTATTTACTGTGTATCTAGATACAGTGGTATTTACTGTGTGTCTAGATACAGTGGTATTTACTGTGTATCTAGATACAGTGGTAATTACTGTGTGTCTAGATACAGTAATTAGTTATTGATAAGCTATTTTCAGCAATGAAAATAAATTCAAAATCAGATCAATTTAGAATACAGTTAAAAACTAATCATGTATACTCTGGAACTAGTCAGGGTCTTGTACAACATTGAGGAGAAACCTGTTGGGAATACATGTTTTTATTTGACTTGTGTAGTGGTGAGGCATGGTCACCAATATTTGTGTGTCTCTGTGTTGTTTGGTACGTGTGCTATTTAATGTGATACAGAAAACTGTTATATACACAACTAAGTTACATCTGAATAAATATGAATCAGTATAATTTGTCTTATTTGTTACTTACAAATGTCTCGTCAAGGGCTGCAATCTGAGCATATCATCTATCTGTTAGTATGGGAGAAACACATGTGTCAGATGTAAGGGAAAACTTGTGTGTTTACTAAGGAAAAAGAGAGCTTACACACTCATTTCCTCTAACAAGAGGTGCAATGGGCCTGCATTTTCCCCTTAACGTTTGTCAAAAATAGAATTGATGTTTATCACAAATACATGAACACCTACACCCTTGGCATTTAACCTATGAGTGTTGATTGAGAAGTTGTGAGCCTTATATTAAAGAAGTAAAGCTCTACTGTTCTCATAATATTCATGGTGTATTTTTGTCGGTTTATGTCGAAGAAGTAGCACTCTAAAATAAACGAGGCAAGTGACTTTTGCAAAATGGTCAAAATCGATGAAAGAACAGATTCGATATTTGTATAACAAAGGAATAACACCCTAAGGATATCCATACTGATATGGTAGCAACACTAGGGAATGATGCCCCTTCATATGCTACAGTGAAAAAGATGGCAGGCAGAGCCTTGGGGATGATGCCTGTCCTGGAAGGCCTGTCACTGTTGCAACTCCAGAAAAGTAAATAAAGTCCATGGTATTGTTATGGCTGACAGGTGAGTTACAGAGAGTTATATTGCCAGTACAGTTGGTACTTTACAGGAAAGAAGAGTACGTTCCATTTTGAAAATGAGAAAGCTCTCAGCCTAATGGGTACCAAGACTTCTGACCTTTGATCAGAAGCACACCAGCCGACTTGGTCGCATGCTAATATGAACTTTTTAGGGATAGATCCTGCTAACTTTCTGCAGAGGTTTGTGACTATGGATACAACGTGGGGCCATCATTTCACCCCAGCAAACAACAGTCTAAACAATGGAAGTACCCTGGTTTACCCCTGTCAGAGAAGGCAATGCCTGTTCCATTAGCTGGAACCGGTTCCCAATTTCGGTCAGATGATGACGTCATACATGCAGTGTAGGACTTTCTGAACGACCAAGAAAAGGACTTTTTTAAAAGTGGCATTGGGGCCCTTAAACATCGCTGGCAAAAGTGTATAGATACTGAAGGGAATTTGTATAGATACTGAAGGGAATTTGTATAGATACAGAAGGGAATTTGTATAGATACTGAAGGGAATTTGTATAGATACTGAAGGGAATTTGTATAGATACAGAAGGGAATTTGTATAGATACTGAAGGGAATTTGTATAGATACAGAAGGGAATTTGTATAGATACTGAAGGGGATTTGTATAGACACTGAAGGGAATTTGTATAGATACTGAAGGGGATTTGTATAGACACTGAAGGGAATTTGTATAGACACTGAAGGGAATTTGTATAGACACTGAAGGGAATTTGTATAGATACAGAAGGGAATTTGTATAGATACTGAAGGGGATTTGTATAGATACTGAAGGGGATTTGTATAGATACTGAAGGGAATTTGTATAGACACTGAAGGGGATTTGTATAGACACTGAAGGGAATTTGTATAGATACTGAAGGGGATTTGTATAGATACTGAAGGGAATTTGTATAGATACTGAAGGGAATTTGTATAGACACTGAAGGGAATTTGTATAGATACTGAAGGGGATTTGTATAGATACTGAAGGGGATTTGTATAGATACTGAAGGGGATTTGTATAGATACTGAAGGGAATTTGTATAGACACTGAAGGGAATTTGTATAGATACTGAAGGGGATTTGTATAGATACTGAAGGGGATTTGTATAGATACTGAAGGGAATTTGTATAGACACTGAAGGGAATTTGTATAGATACTGAAGGGAATTTGTATAGATACTGAAGGGGATTTGTATAGATACTGAAGGGAATTTGTATAGATACAGAAGGGAATTTGTATAGATACTGAAGGGGATTTGTATAGATACTGAAGGGGATTTGTATAGATACTGAAGGGAATTTGTATAGACACTGAAGGGAATTTGTATAGATACTGAAGGGAATTTGTATAGATACTGAAGGGAATTTGTATAGATACTGAAGGGAATTTGTATAGATACTGAAGGGAATTTGTATAGATACTGAAGGGAATTTGTATAGATACTGAAGGGAATTTGTATAGATACTGAAGGGGATTTGTATAGACACTGAAGGGGATTTGTATAGATACTGAAGGGAATTTGTATAGATACTGAAGGGGATTTGTATAGACACTGAAGGGGATTTGTATAGATACTGAAGGGAATTTGTATAGACACTGAAGGGGATTTGTATAGACACTGAAGGGAATTTGTATAGATACTGAAGGGAATTTGTATAGACACTGAAGGGGATTTGTATAGACACTGAAGGGGATTTGTATAGATACTGAAGGGAATTTGTATAGACACTGAAGGGGATTTGTATAGACACTGAAGGGAATTTGTATAGATACTGAAGGGAATTTGTATAGACACTGAAGGGAATTTGTATAGATACTGAAGGGGATTTGTATAGATACAGAAGGGAATTTGTATAGATACAGAAGGGAATTTGTATAGATACAGAAGGGAATTTGTATAGATACAGAAGGGAATTATGGTGAACAATAATTCAACATAACCGCCAACACTCAAGCCCATGAGGCTCACAACTTATAAATCAGTCCTCGCACCAGCCAAATGTCATAACATTTGGTCAGTTGGTTATTGAGAAGACGTCGCTTTAATTCCTAGAACAGATATTAGCAAAAGCATATGGGAAAATAACCTTACAATAATATTCGAAATGCTAATATCCGGGGAATTACCCCGGGATTAGAATCATGTCAACGTCTGTCCTGTCTTTAAAAAAATGGAGATGAACATAACCTCATTAATTACCGATCTCTTTAACATGTATCTGTTGTAAAATTCGGGAACATTTCTTCTAAAGTTAGGGGCGACCTAGGAAACAAGAAAATTCTTTTTTACTTATAGCACAGCTTCCGCTCTAAACGCCCTATTCGAATCGAGACATCTCTTCCTCACAAAACCAAAACAAATAAACTGACTTTATTATTATGGACTAGGTGTTTGACAAAGTTTCTCATCTCTATTTCCTGTACAAAACAAGATTTTATGGAATTAATGCACAAAGTCAAATGAATATCCTTTTTTTTGGTCGACCGTACCCAGTCGGTCCTTCTCAGAAGTATAAAGTTCAATATGGTCCCAATGATATCTGGTGTCCCACAGGGGAAATTACTTGGACCAATTCTCTCTTGACACATATCAACGGTCTCTCTGACTGCATTCAACACAACACCGTCCGACTCTTCGCTGACGATCATCTACAAGCAAATTACCTCTAAGTAAGACGCCTCCTTCCACTGCCTTTCATCCGAACTCTTTGCCGTCAATCATTTAGACCAATTCTTTTTATTTCGCTTTGTCGGTAGAGCATCAGACTTTTAATCTGAGAGTCTTGGGTTCGAGTCCCTACATGGGCGCTAACATTTTTGAAACGTATAACATAACTCCTTTCACCTGCAGACTGAAAAGCTCGCAGAAACATCGTTTGACTAAACTATTCTTTCTTGATGTTTTACATGAAGAAATATGTGGTTAAACTCATTCATGGGTTGATATGACAATATATATACGATGGAGATTTA